ACTGCATTTGTAACCCGATATTCACATCTTCTGCTATGGGACTTTGCAGTTTCTTCCCGTAATGGGGTAGAACCTATCTCCCTGTGCCTTGGGTTTGGCTATATGACTCGCCGCGCCCAGTATAATCAGTTGGAATGATGACATGAAAGTTTGGCCTTGGCTTGGAAAGGCTTTGTCCATTTATATTTGCCCTCTTGTGCTTCTACCATGGCCAAGACATGAAAATGTCCAAGGAGCCTGCTGTCTGAAAAGGAGGGGAAGAAACACGTGGAGCAGAGTGTCCCCAGCCACGTCACCCCAGCTGAATACGGCCCAGATCAACATGCTCATGTCACATGTCTCTGAGGCTTGTTCTGCAGCATGTGTGCAGCAATACTGGATTGGTTTCCCCAGAGAGAAATCTCAAAACCTTGAGTCAGAGAGTAGGGGAATGAAAAGTGACTGCAAGCTTTCAGGGGGCTGCGTTGGCACACACAGGGCTGGAGACCTCTCTGTTCAGCCTACACACTTTCAATTAATCCCTTTATTTTAGCATAGTGTTTCACCTCTGCCTCTAGCCGTACCTGAAATTCCTGAGTCCAGATGCTCTCTGGTTTAACTTATCCAGAAAATAAACCTTTCTTCTGCCAGGTGGAGGAGGGGCTATTGCCTGGATGTACACGTGAAGGAGGGACATGGAGTGAAGGGGTAAACCTCCCAAAATCCTTAAGTAAATGTCAGTCCCTCACCTGAGGTTCTTAGTAACTGGTGCCTTAATCGACACTATGTTATTATTGTAGATTTGTAATGTACTTTAATGTGACTGATCACATTACTGTATCCTAGTCTCTTTTTTTCAAAATTGTCTTAACTAATTGTGGACTTCGATTCTTCAATATGATTTTTTTCCTCATCCGTTTGTCCAGTTCTCGAAACTTCTGATGAGGTTTTTATTGGAATTGAGTATAATCTATAGTTTAAATTGGAAAAAATGAGAAATCTTGCAATGTGAAGTAATTCTATCAATGACTATACAGAATATTTCTCCATTTATTCGGATCTCCTTTATGTCCTTTGAAGCGGTAGACAAAAGTTCCACCTGTAACTTCAGGGTCATGCCCTTAGAGAAAGAGCATGCCTTTCTCCATCTCTTCTTACTCGCTAGATTATGGATGTATTTTTGAATTCGAAGCAGCCATTTAGGATCATGAAGGGACCTTGGGAATAGAGGCCATTATAGCAGACTGCCAGGATTCCTCAACGTGTAAAGTGACATGCTAGTCTCAGATCACCGATTTCTGAAAGTCTATGGGGAAGAGAAATAAACCTCCAATTTGTTAAAAGCCCTGTTAATTTGTTTGTGCTATCTTTCGTTGCCACCACAGAGTTAAGCTCTACCTCAGTAATTTTCAAAGTGGGGTTCCCTAAAGCAGTAGCCATAGCAACACCTGGACACTTGTTAGAAATAGACTTTCTCGGGACCCTCATCTGTTGACTCAGAAAAGCTGTGTGGGGCCCGGCAATCTGCTCTCACGAGCCCTCCATGTGATTGCGATGAGCACTAAGATTGAAAAGCATTGCTCTCAATTACTCCCTCTTAGGTCCATCGCTCACAATAGGATCTCTCTATGGTTAACCCGGAAGTGAAGGCCGCCACACACATGTTTTGCATAAGTAGGAAGAGCAGGCGAACGAAGGACCAGTCCATCCACTCCTAACGCAGTTTTTAATGAACAGCTGCTGATTTCCCATCCTGCTGGCTGTGGAACTAGGCAAATGATATCACCCCACACTTGACTCATAGGAGTGGGGCGGAAGGACCGAGCCATGACGATATCCACACTCAGGCCCTGAGTCCAGATTATCCTCCGCCACTGGGCGGAAGGCCAGCAGGTACTAGGCCTATAGGAGCTGAGGCACAGGAGAATCCCCTCTCTTCCCTCATCTAGTTTGGGGCAGGTGAGGGGGTCGGCCTCCCCAAGCGCTGCTGTTGCTGCTGTGGGCAGATCAGACCTGCTTCTGCCAACAGGTGAGGAATTAGGCAGGTTGACCCGCCTGGGTTCTGTTGTTACTGTGCTGAGGACAGATTGGGGCACTGCTGTCAGCAGACGTAGGGTGTGAGGTGGGTGGAGGAGCCTGCGCTCCCCTGCTGCTGCTGCTGTGGGCAGATCACACTCATGGCTACCAGTGCGTGTGGGACGTGAGATGCGTGGGCTCATCTGGGGGCCAGTGTCACGGCTGCAGGCAGTCCACTCCGCCATTGCCACGGCTATGGGTCTCCCCGCTCAGTCTCTGCTAGGCATCCCCTTCCTCTGGCGAGAGAGAGCAGGCTTGTATTGTTTTATTTACTCCTATGCCTGTTGGTGGTTCTGGGTTGAGGTATCTTTGGTATCGAGTCTGTGATACATGATAAAGAGAAAAATCCAGGGAATTCATGATGTACCTTTGAAAGTCTTGAAGTTCCTAGCTATCCACCTTTTTTCTGCATCTCAGACTCCTTTGATGATGTCTGCGGAATTATTTTCAGAGTATTTAGTTTGTGTTTGGAGGAAAGGAGAAGGGAGAAATGAGTCAACACAATTTGTGCCAGAGCTGGAGCTCCCACTCCTGGTTTTTTAACCAAAAAAAACTGCAAAACTTAAGTTCACACAACAAACTGTATGCAAATATACATAGCAGATTCATTTGTAATCACCAAAAACTGGAAACAACTCCAAGATCCTACAACTGGTAAAAACCTCTGGTAACAATCACACAATGGAATATTACTCAGCAATAAAAAACAAATGAATACCCACAACACCCTAGAGAAATCTCAATTTATTACACTCAATGAAGAAGCCAAACTCAAAATGGCTACAGACTATAATTCCTTATACATGATTTTGAAAAAGGCAAAACAATAGGCCCAGAGTACAGATCCGTGGTTGCTAAGGTCTGGTGGTGGGGCAGTAGCTGGCTGCAAAGGGGCACAGGAAGCTTCTGCTTTGTGTGTTTTGAAGCTCAGTTATTAGGCGCTTACACACACGTCGTAATGGTGACGAATTACTGTGACTGTTGGAAGATATAGAGGTTCTAATTTACAAAGCTCTCATCTAGTAAAGATATATGAAAGTATTTATGGATGACATGCTGTGCTCCTTGTTGTTCGCCTTTTAAAAACTTAGGAGTTTCAGTGAGGAGTAGTTAGCTCTATAGCCCGACGTAGAGAAGATGCATGAGGTGAGAACAGAGAAATAAACACCGGATTTGGCCAGGACGGATATTGGGAGCTGATCGGTGCAGTGTCCGTGGAGCGAGAGGGATAAAAGCCTGACTGGAGCGGGTTGCAAAGAAAATGGTAAGCGCGGAACTGGACCCAGCGACAGCACGTTTTGCTATGAGAAGAAGCAAAGAACTGGAACAGGAATTGATCGAGGACGAATTTTTTGAAGATGTAAGAGGTAGATTAATCTTTTGGACATTAACTACCTGGAGGTGGCAGTGGGGTAGTGGAGGAGTTGGCCTTTGACGGATCTGACGACTCTTCCTTTATTTCAACCGGAGGGAAGGTAGCAATGTGGTCCAGATGGAGCTGGGATGGAGAATGCGGTGGTAGGAAGATGGGGGTCCAGTCTGCCTCCGTTTCTCCAGTTAAGTGCGTGGTGACGTCATTATCATCGAGTTCAAGGGGAGAAGTGGAATGGGACATGGGGAGAGGAGGTGGCATGAGTTCTTCAATGTGGAAAACAGAAATGCACGCAGACCAGAGGAATTTCCTGGGAACTCTGTCCAGGGGAGATCTGCGGTCATGAATGTAACGGGGACCAGGCTTCGCGGTCGTCTGCTTTGCTGGAGCCACGCTCGCTCTCCTGCAGGCGCAGAGCAGGCAGATGGCTGAGTGCATCCCACACGCGTTTGCAGAGGAGAGGTGACCATAGTTAACCACAGAATCTGACCGGGGTAAAGAGAGATGCAAGGGCCTGTCGGGAGCGAAGGCTGTAAAAATATCGGCGGGGTCAATGGAAAAAAGGGAACTGGAAGGAGAGAATGAAACATAGAGAAAGGAGCACGAGAAAAAGAGATTTGGGCAAGAGCGCAATCGCCGGCAATGCTGGGGTCTGGAGCCACGCCGTCCAAGGCAACGGCTACGAGACGCGTGTGGCTATTTGAATGTAAACTAATTTAAATGATAATAAAGTTAAAAATTCAATCCTTTAGCTGCACTAGGCACATTTCGAGTGTTTCCATAACCATATGTGGCTAGCTGCTACTTCATTAGACATACAGACACGGAACGTCAAAGAAAGTTCTATTGAACAGCGCGGCTTTGCTGTGACCGGGGGGGCGAGTGGCAGGGGGGGGGGGCCCCTTTTTTTTTGAGGTCAAGGGGAAGGCGGGGTCATCTTGGCCAACGATAAAATCGCCAAGAATGGAGACAAGAGTGGGGTGGGGGAACGTCAGGGGGAGCCCCGTTTGCTGCAGGGGCCTCGAGGAGAGGAGCTCAGCTTAGGGAATTGTGGCGTCAGAGGCGCAGTGCCGTGAAGCCCGTTTTCTGCTCGCCCCCAGGGTTATTGCCAGCTCGGCGGCATGCCCAGACCCCCCACCACTTCCGCTGCTCCGCTCCCAGAGGAGTCAGCCAATGCTGGCATTTTCTCTGGCTGCCTGTCAAAGATCCCTTGTCTGAGGTGTCCCCGATCCCAGCCAATCCCCAATCCTGGGCTGACAGAGAAGCGCCTCCAAGTGCCTTCTCCTGTACAGAAGATGCCAGTCCCCAGGGAGATGCAGCTCACCTGTCTCTCAGAGGCCTGGGCAGTCAGGAAGATCAGACTCCTGGCTCAGTGTACACAAGGACCTGGGTTTCTGTCTTGACAACCGAGTAGGTAGAATACGGTCACTGTCAATCCAGAACAGGGTCCAGGGGAAAGGAGGGAAACCTCACTGGAGGGTTTTCCCAGGGAGAAGAGGAGGCATCAGGGCCCTTGTCCTAAAATTTCCATTAGCCGAGGAAACCACGAGAGACTCCAGACCAGGACAGACCTTTACTGGGGACGGGGAAACACGGCTCCTGCGCGCAGCCCTCCGGGGTTGATGATTTCGATGTGGAACTGCAGGTGAGTGGCTGTGACGACGCAGTGGCCCTGGAGGAGAGCACAGGTCTGGCAGTTCTGCTGCTGCCAGTGGCACCGGATGTTGTAGATGGCTTTGAGCACCTGGCAGTACCGCCAGTGGATGCGCCACATACGGACCAACGACTGGAGCTTGACCACGGCCCTCTCTCTGTTAACGTAGCTAACCAGGGCTTCCCTCCGCTTCCTGTCCAGCGCCCGCATCAGCATCAGCCTCCACCAGCTCTGAATGACCCAGGCCCTGAGGGCCGCGTGCAGCAGTGCCCGGCGCACCAGGGTGCCCCGCCACCAGGCCTGGATCTCCGTGGCTGCCTTCGTTACATCCATTTCTATTTTCTAGGCAGAGAAAAAAAAACCACTTAGGGAACATCCTGCCACCTACTTCCAGGATCTTCCTGGAGGGATCCTGGATTCTCTTAGCAGTCAGCCCCTCTTCAGAGACTTCAGAGGAGTGAGCAGGACCCTGGCTAAGAGCCGAGGGCCTGGGCGGTGAGCCCTCCTCTCCACCATGGACACACCCCTTTGTCCCCTGGTCACCGTATTGTCCCCTTGACCACCTCACACAATGGATCACGGGGAAACCACCGCGTTGGGGACGTGAGGGCCTTCGTCAGTCACACGCCACCTCTGCTGTGTTCGTGGGGTCTGGGAAGTTTGGCCTCACGATGCGATCGCCTTGCGGTCTCTGCTCCTTCTCGTCCAGGCCCCGCCGGTTGGTTTGTCTGCCGTAGCGATGCGTTTAGATGCCGTGACGGGGTTTCAGTGCCCTCACTCGTCACGTCGTCTACTGCCAGCCTCGCCCGACTTCCAACAGCCTGTTCGCTAAGTCAGAGTCCTCACCACCTCGCCTCCCAGCCCCAGGCATTCCTAGATGGCTTTCATGTTCTCTCTCCACTCTTCACGTCACAGTCAGGCCCAGACTCAGAGACGGAGTGGAGGGAACGTGAGCCAGCGTTGAGCGGACTCCTGATTGTGTTAGACTCTGGACCCATAAGAGGCGCCGTTCCGCACGCTCGTGACACGGATGTGAGCGTTCTGGATCTCTCTCAGACTACATGGGGTTTGACTCACCTTACTTTTCTTTTTCTTCACACGATATACAGTGGTCTGATTGACATCCTCTAATTCAAATACAACTAAATTTCCACCTTTCTGTCATCAGAATTAAACAGGAAATGAATGGCTGAGTTAAGATTGCTGTTTCTCTTGGGGCTCTACACAAGGATACCCCCTGCCTCAGCTTCCCCTCTTTTCCCAAGTCTTATGAAGCTCAGGGTGTCTCCCACCCACCCCCAGCAAGCCTACTAGATGTGGCCATGTCTCTTACACAGAATCGAACCCGTGTGCTCATGGCTTGTCTCTAGATGGTTCATTAGCCTTGATCTCTCTACCTCCCAAGATCTGGCATGAGTAATATGAGGGGAAGAGCTATGAGTTCACAATTGCATTATGACACAGGGATTGGAATATCCGCCACACACTTGAATCAGCCTCAGAAACCAGACCCATGGGAGCTGGTGCTACCTGTCTACTTCCCACCTGTCGGACACATACCAGAGCTCAGTGCAAACACAGGGCAATGAGATTCCATCCTAGGGCTCCCCTCCAGTGAGGCCCATTGCCATGCTCCTCATCCCCAGTCACACAGGACAGCAGGAGGGACCCTTAGTGTACCTCCTCACGACAATCGAGTGTCTTCTCAGGCTTGGCACCTCCTGTCTTTCCCCTGATTCGGGGGTCAGCAGCGCAGCTAGAAAGAGAGAGAACCGATAAATCTAGAAAGCAGTAAGATAAAGATAAAAATCTTCAGTTAATTAAAGAAAAAAAAATGAGAGGTGGAAAATAAAGTTGGAAGGTGATGCTTTGAAAAGACCAAAATTAAAGGTAGATAGTCCATGAACTTCGGTGGTTGAGAAAGGCAACGTAATCACAGAGAGATATAAATACATATAGGAGACCAAATGTAACAACTCAGAGGAAATACTTTTCCAACGAAATGGAAATGACCAAAATTAACTGAAGAAAATACGTAAAAATTGGTAAGTTGAAAAGGCTATTCCACTATAAATAAGGCACCAGGAACAGGTAGATTCATATCCAACTGTTTAAAATGGACAAATTTAGATATTCCTAATGCGACAAACCATTCAAAGCTATTATCAAATATACACATTCCCGTCAAGCACGTCATGGGGTCGGTGTTGGTTGTGATAGGACTTTGATCTTGTGGAGGGAGGCGATCGTCATGAGATTGAGTCTCTTCTAAGAACAAGGACTAGCCCTCCATTCGCTGAAGAATTCTTTTATGTCTTTCTGTAAGTTTAAACATTTTTACCTGTAAACAGTTTTTTCTTGAGCGACAATTCGCATTCCATGAAACTTACCACCGAAGACTGTGCGACTCAGTAGCGGGTAGAATATTCACGGAGCTGTGCGACCATCGCCGCTCTCTGATTGCAGAAGAGTTTCGTCGCCCCCAAAATACGCCCCATATCCAGGGGCTGCCAATCTCCATTCTCCCCTCCCCCAGCCTCTGGCAACCGCTGATCTACATCCTCATAGATCTGCCTATTATGGACATTTCCTATGATCGGAACCAGGCGAAAGGGGTTTTGTGAGTGGCTTCGTTCGTTCAGCAGAATGTGTTCAAGGCTCATTCATGTCACAGCGCTTCATAGCTTTCTGTGGCCGAATGAGACTCCGTCTCATGGATACACTACATTTGAAAATCTCTTCATCGGTTAACAGACGTTGGAGTTGTTTTTACTTTTTGACTATTATGAATAGTACCGCTAGGTATATTGACGTTTAAGTTTCTGTCGGGACACACGTTTTTCAGTTCTCCTGGGTATACACCTAGGAGTGGAATTGCTAGGTCAGACGATCACTCTATTTTTCACTTTTTGAGGAGCCCCCAGACTTCCCCAGCAGTTGCGCCATTTCCCCCACATACTCAGCAACACTTCTTTCTTTTCTTTGAAAACACAATAGCCATTCGAGTGGGTGTGAAGTGGTATCTCCTTGAGGTTTTCATTTGCATTACCGTGAAAATTAATCACGATGAACAACTTGTCATTGGTATACATCTTCTTACACCGAATGTTTATCGAAATCCTTTGCTCATCTATTTATTTATTTATTTTAGCCCGTTAAAAATCAGCTTTATCGAGGTATAGTTCACATAAAATTAAGTTCACTGTTTTTAAATATACGATACATTTTTTGAGTAAATATATACAGTCGGGGTTTACATTTTTAATCTACTTTAACGATTACAAAGAGTGGAAAGCTTTTCATATCAGCAACTGCTGATGTGGAATGAATGGCTGAGTTAAGATTGCTGGTTCTTTGTACTTCTTTAGTGCTTATCATGTTAGTGAGTTAATTGTGTGAATTCACTTTCCAGATGGAATTGGTGTGAAAAAGAACGTTCCATTTGATTTTAAGTAAAAGTTAACTAAATGAAGTCCTTCATAAATTAAGGGTTACTCTACTTTTAGGTGACAGAAATGTGTCATGGGAAAACAGTGCTAACCAACATTTTCTTTAGTGAAACAATTTCATTCTATGGTCTTCATTCTGTAGAGATTTAGTAAAAGTCCTACAATTTTCACAGTAAAATGCAATTAGACTTAATTTTAAGGAGTGTGAAGATTGTTAAAAGTTGTTTATCGGATTCAAAGCAGGAAGCTAACACGTTTTAAAATTTTCTGCGAGAGTTGAAATAAAGGGCTTTCCGACTAAAAGTCAATGAAGAGAAAATTCAATTAACCAGATGACTCCAACAAATGATTTAAACTTCACTAAGTCTGAACATGAATCTTTACAGAAATGGGCACAAATTTGAGTTAAATTTATGTTGATACTATATAGCCCTCCAAATCTAAAGTGGACATTTAGATTTAGAATTTTAAGTATAAGAAGAAAACGTGAATTTTTTTATAATCTGGGCGTGAGAAAATCCTTTTTAATTATTACTCAAAATTCAGTTGCAGTGAAAGAGATTGATAAATTCAATTGTATAGAAATAAAAACTGTATGACAAACACCATAAACAAAGTCAGAAGAGAAATGATAAACTGCAGAAAATATTTGTAAACATATCATGAAAGGTACATTTCCATGTATATGTGAGATAGATATTCTCCTACAAACTCTTAAAAATTAAGGTGAAAACGCAAACGTATATGTAGATATAATATACACACATATATGTGTGTGTATATATGTGTGTGTAAATATGTATGAGAGGAAGTTTTACAGATGAATGCCAGTTAATAAATGTACAAATGACAGAATCAGAAAACAATCATCCTGTAGCCCTCAATATAATAACAGATTTAAATAAATATTATCAATGGATTCTCATACCAATGGAATGGTTGTTGCAGAAAGGGATATTTGCTTGGACTCAAAGTATACCACAGATTACTTATTAATGATAAAAAGACTATTCCTTTACAATGGAGCAATCTGGCAGTCACATTAACAAAGTAATCAAATTTAGCATCACCGATAGTGGAACAACCCAATGTGTACCTCCACGAACCTGTATTGTAATACAACATAAGGTTTATGAGTATTCTTTTTTTTTTAATTGAAGAAATGATTTAAATTTTTTCCCCTGTCTACCTCCCCTCTCTCCCCTCTCCCCATCCTCTGGTAACCACTAGTGTATTGTCCATGCTTTGCCCATTTATTAATTGGATATTTAAAACTAATGAGTATAAGAGTTCTTTATACATTTTGGCTACTATCCCATCGTCAGGTATATGATTTGAAAATATTTTCTTCTATTCTGTGGGTCGTTTTTTCACTTTTTAACAATAAGAGCTTTATTGAGATATTTTCCTAGCATACAATTCGCCTATTTAAAAGTCTATGATTCAATGGATTTTAGCACATTCACAGATCTGTGCAGCCGTCAGCACGGTCAATTTTAAAACATTTTCATCACCTCAGAAAGAAATCCTATACACTCTAGCTATCACTACACTACCACGCAGCAACCACTAAACTACTTGTCTCCAACGATTTGCCTATGTGGACTTCTCGCATAAATAGAATCGTATACTAGGCAGTCTTCTACTACTGGCTTCTTTCATTCGGCATAATGCTTTCAAGGATCAACCACATCGTAGTACTGATCAGTACTTCATACTTTTTTATGGCCAAATAATATTCCTATGAATGGACATACCACTTCTATGTATCCATCCATCCATTCATTGATCGACATTTAGGTTGTTTCCACTTTTTAGCTATTATGAACAATGTTGCCATAAACATTTGTATACAAATTTCTGTGTGGACATCTCCTCAGTACATATCTAGGGGCGGAATTGCTGGGTCACGTGGTAACTCTCTGTGTAACTATTTGAGGAACAGACGCACTGTTTTCCAAAGTGACTGTACCATTTTACATCTCTACCAGCTGTGTATGTAAGTTCCAGTTTCTCCTCATCCTTGCCAAGACTTGTTACTATCTTACTTTTTAAAATTATAGTTACTCTACTGTATTGTGGAGAGGTATGTCACTGTGGTTTTTATTTTTATTTCCCTGATGACTAATGATGTAGAGCATATTTTCATGTGGTTTTTGGTCATTTGAATATCTTTGGAGAAAATTCTATCCAGATCCTTTTTCCATTTTAATGGAATCATTTGGTTTTTTTTTATTACTGAGTTGTAAGGGTCCTTGATAGTCTATAATTCTTATATTCCAGATGCAAGTGCCTTATCAGATAGATGACTTGCAAATATTTTCTCCTATTCTGTGGGTTGTCTTTTTACTTCCTTGAAGTGTTCTTTAAAGAATAGAAGTTTTTAATGTTGATGAATTCGGATTCATCTGTTTCCTCCTCTTGGTTGGTTGTGTTTTAAGTCTCATAGCTAAGAAACTGTTGCCTACATCAAGGACATAAAAATTTACATCGCTCCTGAGTGACTCGGGTCAGAGACAGTGCAGGTGGGGTCCCTCCCCTCTGAGGGCCTCTGCAGAACTACCGTTCGTGGAGTATGTGGGATTGGGAGTGGAGACTTTCTTTTTCCATGTGTTCTTTACCTTTCCAGTCTCCTCAAATTCTTGTAGTATGATTTCATAAACCTAGCCATCCTTCTGTAACCAGAGTTTAGAGATAACAGTTATGGGT